TGATCAATGATAATGACAATGTATTTGCATACTTCTGCCTTGCCATCAATCCAATGAGTGTCTTGATTCGARACAAGATAATACAATCCTCAAAAGGTTAATGGCTAATAAGCAAGACAAAAGTTTGATCATAGAGCAATGTTATTAGCCAATCAGAATGAGCTTAGCTTAGTATCTATTTTTTCTATTTTCAATTATTTCTGAACACCTTATGCTTTGTGTATACACGCGCAAAAAAGGGTACAAACGCTGACCTACCATCGGTCTCGTTTCCCTCGTCGACTGCGTCCCTAAACCTTGGAAATTCTAAAGTGTTCCCCTTTGAAGTTGTACAAAAGTTATTTTGAGTTCGTTGGATCACCCTTGCCAACTGAAAATTGGAAGATCGAAGACATGACAAGGCTTGAAAACTTAACGATCCTGAAAAACAAAAGAATRCCTTTCGTACAGTAAAACTTTACAATAGGGGAGAAAGGTATTATAGCGGAATTACCAGAAAATGCTCGTTTCGTAAGTYGGCGAACGACATGTGCGGCTGCCATTTTGAATAATACCCACAATGCTTTTAGCGCAATCTCTGATGCTAATCATTATCAGTAAAATTTAATATGCTTAATAAAATATTCAAGGATGTCTTAGGGGTTTCCTTTGAACATAAAGTCGCTTTTAARTGAATTTTTGAATGGTTTCACCTCAGGTGCCACGATATATTTTGAAAAAATGACATTTATTGAGCATTCCCGCTGTTTGTGTACCGCAGGCGCCCATACCCACAATGCAGTTCCCGCCTACGAGGGCAGGAAGACATGTTTTGAGTTGGATTCACAAATGACAAGTCGTCTCCTCAGGAATATATGTGTGGGTTGAGGAAGGAATTCCTCGTAGACTGCACTCTCTAGAAGAGAGATTATGATGTAAACTATTAGTCATATCTATCGAAAAAGCCTATCCTTTGAGACCAAAGACCAGACTCKCATTTTGACTTCTGGCGAAGAACGAGGAAGCCTCGGTACAGGATCTTCTCCTTTTTGGCTCCAAAAAAGTTGTTTCTTGCTGTGTCAATACCGAATCCGTGAAGAAGACATTCAAGACTACTCAAGCTATCAACCTCTCAACGACTATTATAAGTATTTTGGGTTTTTCTTCAAGCAAAACTGTGAGTAGTCTTTCAAGAGTACGACGGAATTTATTCTACATTTCGAAGCTCAACGTAGACTTGCGATTTTGGGTGTTTCTAAATAATGCTAATTTAATTTTCTGTCGACGTCTATGATTGTATTGCACATTCTCTTAGTATAGCGACTTGACAGTGATTCATCCCAAGGACAAAGGGCTTCAATTTTATAAAAAACATATCTCTTCATTTTCATCGAGAATGTTGATGAAGCTGTGTAAGAATTCGTGAATCTGTTATAGAATTAACATTCGATAATATCAAGTTATTTTTTCTGACATAGCAAGAGTGGAGGCGTTGACATACATCTAACTTAGAACATTGGGAACCCGATTTTTAATTGCTGAACTATATTAAAATTTTTATTTCAATTAAAAAATAAACTTGGCTGCATCAAATACAATATTCACCATGGCAGAAATTGAATTGAGTGATAATTCACCACCAAAAAGCCCCCAATCTCTTGGAGAACATGATTACATTTTGTTATCCACTCCTGAAATAGAGTCCGATAACGGCTCTGTAATGTCATCGACGAAAAGCAAATCTCAGGGGAGTAGTATCGGGAGTTTTGTAGACATGACTTTACCAGAGGGGGATGCCACTGTRGACAAGTCTTACACAGATGAAGAGGTGAAAAAACTTGTTGAAGATGCAAGAAAAGAAAATAAGGAAGAAAATGGCGATAGGGACTCTACAAATAGATATTCTAAGGACAGTGGAATTGGGGAATCGAGAGAAACACTAAAAACAGATGAAGGTGTAGAAACTCTGGAAGATGACRYTGGACTCATAAAGAAAAGATCAKCGTCTGAAATGAYTCCAAYATCAAAAACCCTTGATAATGAAGACGGTGATTTTAGCCTGCGTAATCGYGCTTCRACAGAYCCAGGAAGTGGAGAAGAAGAGGAAGCYGAYGAAAAYGCTGTTGAGTTYAATAAAGTTACCTACTTGGGCTCGTCAACTGTCGACGCCCCTGTGAGCGAAATTGARCTAAAGCGYACTATGACAATTCTAAGAGAACAGTCGCAAGTTACTATTGATGTTGTSTTAATCATTGGGTCTACATCGGAAGGGAAAATAAGACTAGTGGATCCAGAAACAATGACTGACATTGCTACRTATAAGGTGCAGAAGATACTRTTYTGTGGGCGTGGTGATGCCGACGGGGAGGAAAAAGATTGCTTTGCCTTCAACACGGTCCATGGYGASCCTGACATCTTTCATTGTCATGTCTTTAGGTGCTTRGAGCCTGAAATGGTGAGTGTATTGCATGMTATAAAAAGTTGCATTTTRAYAACTAGAGATGTTTAGAAGACTTGCAATACCCATATTGATGCTCATGTGTTTACAGTCAAAAGACACAAAGCGGCCCCCCAAATAGTTCGTCATTCAATGCATTATTGGATTTTTTCATTTTATTTTTTTCGTTTTCAAACTTCAGTTAATTAATACAAAATTAAATTCAAATCTCAAACTCTGATAATGACAGAAAACAACACAGCATTTCCAGCTTTTTGAGACCGTCATTCCTTTCTCACGAGAAGGAACAGATCCAACCAAATTAACATACAGCATATTGCAATGCATCAACTTGTGGAAATTACAAAAGAACGGCATGTTAACAAGCGAAATACGAAGAAGGCTTTATGAAAATCCGATCAATAATCCAATCAAATTTCRAAGTTTGAATTCAWATTTGATTTCAATAATGTAATGTTGAATCGAGCAAGAATCGAATAATAAGTTGAATAAATGGTGTTTTGACTGTAAAGAGTGATCACATATTCATTGTTAATGTTATAAATATTTATGAGTGTTAATAAGTCAGCATGTTTAATGTGTGAAATTATATTTAATTAATAGTAGAATTTAGTACTAATTTTGTTGGAACACAAGTGTTTGAATCGCCATTGTTTTTTTATGTATATAATTATAAAATATAAGCGGGAGACCTTTATGGGCATTTAAGACTGTGARCTGCTTTTATTATATATTCCCTTATACAATTACATGTACATTATTAGACATTATAAAATTTTGATATATATATGTTATTTACCRGCTGGGAGGTCCGTATAGGAAAACACTGCCCAAGGTCTTGACAGTACGGATCAAGCGCAGCGAGGTCCGTACATAAAAGACCGAGGGCAGTGTTTTTCTATACGGACCGACCCTATAGCCAGTAAATAACATTTTTATTTCTTTTATTTGTATTTTATACAACTTTGCTCGCAGCCTAGCTGCAGGATACCGTCGGACCGTGATCGTGAAAAACCAGACCGCGAGCTAGCCAATCATAGCAAGCGAATGACTAGGATACAGGACCGAAAAAAAAAATAACACCATGCCCTCTAATTGGCTGATGGCCATGTTTATATCAGAGGACAGAGACACGTGGGCTGTTTTATATTTCTTAAATGAAGAATATATTAYTGTATATATAAACATAGAAAATGATAAGCTTGCAGTCATATTTTTCATCCTGTTTTTGTAAAGTATAATTAATGGTTTTGATAACACAGACGGGTTCCTCACTGCAAGAGTTTCTTCTCAAAGTCATGAATAATTAAGTGAAGATCAAGCTTTAAAAAAATCACTGTTTTGGTATTATATTTTTGCTATGAATATCATTAAAAGATGCCATGAATTTTAAAAAGCAAGACTGAATCAGCTAACGCAGTTTTACATGTATGTACGTTACCGTCCAATTCAAGTCCCACAGGAAAAAAGAAACTATTGTTTTTTTTAAAGAATTATTTTTATTGTATAAGAATTCATCTACAAAATGAAAATACAATGGACATGCAATGATACTTTTTCCAGTTGATTTGAATTTGGGTGGAAAGTTCATAACTTAAAACTCATGTATTATTGAAAGAGGATAAGTACGTGTTGAGTTGAATATGCATTCCACTGATGTGAGCCATGGAGTTCTAGTGGTTTTGACTGACTAATCCAGTATTGTCAKTATTCATTTGGTTGTTGTACAGAAAATATAAATACATGTACAATACAATTAATACAATACAACAATACAATACCAAATGTTACAAAACAATACAAACAATGCAATACAATACAATACAAACAAGGCAATACAATACTACATGTAAGAATACAAACATTGTGCACACTGTATTTTACATTCATTTTTTCATCTTTTTGCAATTTGTTTATTTTTTAACTTTACACTGTATGTTATTCTTCGAATATCAATGTGCTACTGGACTGTAGTATATTCCAAGTATCGTCTAATTTAACTGTGAATTTTCTAGTTACACTGTGGATATTTTTAGTTACTTGTTGATAAGAATCAAAATTCATTACAATTTTAGCTTTATTATACAAATATTGATAATCTAAGTACAATAACAAGCAAGATACAGTTGAGACACTGTCAGCTCACAGCAGGAACACTTTCATGTTTTCAATATTTACTATATTATGTTAATTTTACACTGTTTTACAATACATTTTTATTGGTTTTTCTTGTGCAGGCAGCAAAGATTCTGAAATGTTTTGCAGTGGCTTTCAGAAAACACAGAAAGGTATTGTGTACTAATGTGTAATATAAAAATAATAACCATGAAAAACTAATAATAAAAAACTAATGATTAGATAATAAAATAATAGCAATATGATAAAAAARACTATAGATAAATAATTATTATAAGATAATGCCATTTGATCAATTTTAAACAGTTAGTACATGTAGTTAATTCAATCTCAATGAATGATCTTATTGATATTTCATTATTAATAATTTMATAGTTTTAATATATACACTGTATATGATCAATGCTCATTAATATTNCGGCTACCTTTAAAGATGGCGCAGACAACCGTGAACGAGACTATTTCAACTGAAAGCAAATGTCTCTGCTCGGTGTATTGTAGGCAGAAGAAGAGATTGATGCACTCAAGACACAGCTGCAATTAAATAGAGCAGCTTTGACTGAAGCTGAAGACGAGAGGGAAAGCTTGAAGACTGAGGGACAACAAGTAAGCCTTATATTCATTGAATAGTGGATCTAATGTGTAGACAGTCATTGGTGATGTGTTGGCTGTGAAATTCGAGGCAAAACCTTTCAACTTGTCGGACGCAACATTGATCAAGTTTGAAGTCAATAATTCTTCGATGCGTCTCGTTTTCCACCTTGACAAAGCCGTGGCAAGTTGTCGCGTAATAATGAGACAGGCCATGGAAAACGAGAAATTATGGAAATTGTAGCGGTAAACTAGTGTGTACTGCGTCGGTGTTTCTAATATAACAGTTGTGTAAAAAGATAAATAATTTAACGTCGTAAAGAAATAGGTGAAACAACTTACTGACGTTTCGGACGTTAATCCTTCGTCGAAGTAAAGACATGGAAAACGAGAAGCACTGCTGAAGCTAAACTTGACAAGCAACAATGTTGCGTTGACAAGTTGAGTTTTTTTGTATCTCGCCCTTCAATACCTTAAGGACAGGCATTTATCCATGTCTCGACACTCCACACTTGCAAGAAACGAAAGAAAGGCATGCGCAATATAAAGTTATAGAGTGTAGTACGCTAAAACTCGCAAAATCATCAAGATAACAAACAGATAAAAGTACTAAAAAAAAAACAACAAACAAAACAAGCAGGCGAACCGAAAGCAACTTTAAGAAAAACGTTTACACTTGCGATTTTTGCAGCGCGATAATCGCCACTTTGCTATCGCGTAACTCAAATCGTACGTGTAAACAGCCCTACGATTGTTGCGACCATTTTCAAGCATGTTCGAAACTCAGGCGACAATCGCCGCGAGAATCGCTCTGCAAAAATCGCAAGTGTAAACGTGCCTTTACAAAATCGAAAGCAACTTTAAAAAAGTATAAAACATAACTAAACAAGCCAAGGTCTTCTATTTGTTTATTTTATCATGACCTGTAACTATACTGTCTCTTATTAGTTAAAAGACATGTGGAGAAAGAGTCTKGAAGAATGTGAAGAAGAGAAAAAACGACACACGGCAATCATTGAAGAATACAAGAAGGTAAGACTAACACCGGCCGAGGTTTACTCATATTGCATGGATACAAGATCCATAATCGCCTTTTCAATCAAGAAAAAAATGGCAACTACATAAAATCATACTAAAATAAACGTTCTCTGAAAGTTGGAGTCCCATAGTTCTTCAGTTCAACAAGAAATTTTGAAAAATAACAGGATTGTGTGACTACATGGGAAGACTTGACCAAAGTGTTGGAAATTTTTGTTGTAATTTTTTTGTCTTTAACATTTAATATAGCTTTAAATTTTGTTTTGGCATACTCTTTATTTTTGTATAACTGTGATATTGCTTTGATTGACAAAAGTGAGTTTCATCTAGTGGCCACGTCCTGCAAAAAAAAAAAACATTTTTCTTTTATTAATCTTTTTCATTTTTTAAGATTTGTAGTCAACTCGACGAAAGAAGTCAAAAGCTGAAAGATGACTTACAGCAAGAACTAGTCGAGATAAAGGTAGTTCTCTATGCACTCGAACATAAGGAGTAACATTGTGATAAGCATCTGACACGCTCGTTCCCAGGGCTTTCTCTACTCGCTATTTTCAAAATGGCGGACAAACGTATGGGGATAGATTGATAGTTTATCACTGGAAAAATCGCGCACTTTTAAAGGTTGTAAATTTGTTGTAAACACGATGTAAGTGTCCAAAATGATGTAAATTTGATTTAAATGATTTACATCCAATTTACATCTTTTTTGGAGACTTGCGTCATATTTACGTCAGTCAAATTTACAACCTTTAAAGTGAGCGATATTTTTTTTTCCAGTGTATTGATAAGATATATGTTAGCGAGTGAAGGCTGAATTACATCTTTTTAAAAAGAGGATGAAGTTGATGGTCGAGGAAGCCCCAGAATGCATTGCACAAACCAATCCATTATATATTACAGGCTTTGCATAAGCACCAAAATTCTTGATTCTGATTGGACAAATCGCTATGTTCACAGTAACATAAGAGGGTCCCGAAAGCCAATCCATAATATATTACAGGCTTTGCATAAGCACCAAAATTCTTGATTCTGATTGGACAAATCGCTATGTTCACAGTAACATAAGAGGGTCCCGAAAGAAAGGACCTTTGTGGACTGGTCACGAATTAAAGACCACATTCAAGTAACGTTTTTTTCTGATTTTCAGAGACGAATCGGCACTTGTGAAAAGTGTGGTCCTCTGTTTACTGACGACGGACAGACAACAGAAGGAGTAGGCACTGGTGACGGCTTCAAGACAAGTGTCAAGGTCGTCGATACCGAGAAGCGCCTCCGAGAACTGGAACTAGAGCTTGCAAAGACGAAGCTAATACTCGTGGAGACCGAATGTCGGGCACAAGACTTGGAACACAARCTGTCATCGTTCGTCGCTGCAGTGGCCCTTGAGGAAAGCAAACCCTGGTTCAAGAGAAAGAGTTTAAACTTGATAATTGATAAGTAATTATAATTGAGCTACRGAATGGGGTCGGGAGCGGCTGGTTTTTGATCAATGCTGAACTCAGTATGGGTTGGATGGGGAGATTTGGGATAAGATAGCTATGAATGAACTTTATCTCTTTCCAACAGCTCAATTCTAGACGACTTGCGAGATCAAAAAGCGCTTTCAAAGATATCGCGGGCGCGCGCATGGAAAACGAGTTTGTGGCGAGATAAGCAAGCTTCGGAGCACTGTCCTTGTTTTCATCTGCGCGCCTGCGATACATCTCGTCTGTCAATCCGACAAAACTAAGCTTCTACTACTAATTATACAAAAAGGTACAATAAAAATGTAATTTAGAGGGGAGGGGTCGGGCAAATAGTTCTTATCAAGATATATATATATAACAACACTGTGAATACAGTGGCTGCTTGGGTTCGGGTAAAGTAGCAAAATTAGTTCTAAAATAGTACATATAATACAGTAATAAACACTCCTTGACATTGGATACGTCACTAAGGATGTTGCAGGGAGGGGACGGTTTGGAGAGTAAAGTATGCTATGTTTATTTGGTACAATTATACACACTTCTTCGCAACGACTACGTCGTCGTTTGTGAGGTGGATATGGCCCCGGTAAGTCGTTTTAGTTCCAATTACTTACCAAAGCCATGACCTCCAATTTGTTTTTGCGATTCCGTTGTAAATATGTTATGTTTATTCAGTTAATGTGTTATTTAAAGCGCATTTTCAAACTACGCCTTGGAGTTTCCCTGGTATAAAAGCGACACTTGATGACTCTTGTATATGGCCATCTCGAGCACCCTCTTTTCAAGATGGCGGTCGTCGGGGAGATGAGCTTAACTACCTTATTTCTGTTTCAAATAACGTTTCCATATAAGGCAACGGCAGCATATCAAACTACGGCGGCCTATCAAATTGGCCGAGGTGGCAGGGGCAGCTCTATATCTCTCTGTCTCTGCTACTAACAGGGAAAGCCTAGTGGTCCAAACATTTCTTTTTGATATAACTTTTTTTGATTATATTTCTTGATTTTAGTTTCTTATGATAACCATGAATGTATATATTTAACACTCAGTTACAAATCATACTGGTCTCAGACAGCGCGTTCAAAGGGATACAGTGTGTACATGGCAATGTACTGCGCATTGCAAATACGTTTTGCTTCTATTTGCAAGAATGCTCGCTCAAGACCGAGAAAGACAGCTTGTTGCTGTTGAAGTTTTGCGTCGGTGTTTCTCGGTTTTGTGGCTAGTGCCTCGGAACGAGGCTCAAGCCACTATGCTATCGATGTGTAAGTGCGTACGCTTGTAATTCGGGATAACATGGTCATTTCCCCGCTAATTCTCCGATAAGATGTTACACGTAAATTCTTCGTATGATTTGAACTTTCCTAAAGACTAGCATCTTCACAACTGAAACGGATCATGAAAAACGGAAAACATTAACGCTTACCTCTGAGTTTTGTTGTTCTTTCTCGTATTCGCAAGTGAGATTCGCTTATAAATGAGGAAAAAATKGTGTAATTTTATTTATATAAATATTTGATTAATAGAAAGTTTAAGTTCAAGAATGTTTACTTTACAGTTTGTATCGTTGACAGGCAACTGTGRTCACGTGACAGCGRGGATCACGTGACAACTGGAGAAGGTTGAGAGTTGTTATGTAGAACGTCTGCAGACAGCAAAGTGTTCTTGAAGTACTTAAAATAATTAAATCGTCGATGGATTGTAAATCAAAAGATAATCTATATCATTCTGAGCGGACATTAAAGACATTAAACTGGAAATGAACTAACAAAGAATTATACTTGTGCTACTTTCTAAAGCTTACTAGCGACATTATTCTATTCCTTTTCACTATACCCCGACAAAGGATTTCTCATAAGTATCTAGTGTTCATTCCTCACCATGGCCGCTGGTTTTTTATCTTTTCAATCTCTTAGGAATAGTTGAAAACGAGAAAGTGAAGAACACATGCTGTGAAAGCGCAGTCTTGTGGGAATTTACCCCTGGCGTGCGTTAAAGGAGACTTTCAAACTTTTCCCTGACTCTGCCCACAACATGTTTGCTCTATTTCACCGGTGTTGGGTCACATAGAATCAATCTTTGCTTTGCTAGATTTCCAATTTTCGGAGGTCGCTTTAATAGCTCGGTTATCCGTTCACTCTGGCAACGGCGGCCCTGTCAGTCATGCAAATTTGCCGCCAAAAGCCCGCGCCATTTAAGCGCCCCATCCCCCCTCCCCCTCTAAACAGATCCTGGATCCGCCTCTGAGGTAAACCAATAACTCCCTGCATTAATTAACGAATTGTCGGTAGTATAGCATGCACGAGTGACGGAAGGTTTACTCTACTATCATCAGAAATAATAAAAACGAAACAGATGAAGTTTTCAATGCTTTTTATCTCTAACTAAATTAACTACATGTAGTTTCTAACTATAACGTTTTTATCGCGTTGTGATTTCGTCCTTTAGTGACGTTTGGCTCGTTTGAAACATCTCATGGCGCGACGCATGCATCGTCCTTGTCGTCTGCAGTTCATCTTTGCTCTCAGCATGCACTTCAGACCTCGTTTAGCACATCGAATCTGAGCCTGTTAGAAGAAAAAAACAATTTCAGCTAATCAATATCGTGTTTTAGGTGGGTTTTGTTCAGCTTAAAAGCTTCCTCAAATAAGCTGGAACTTAAAAAAGTCAATTTCCAAGATTAGCTGAATTTTTTAGAAAAACAAAACCATAATTAAAGAAAATTGAAAAGCTAATGGCTAACTGAGAGATCTTTTTACTGTTTGTGGTCTGTAGAAATACAATAATTAATTTTATTGTATTGATGAAATTCGAAATAAATTTGTTTCAGCTCGTAAAGTTTTCAAAATATCACACCAATTGCAATGCGGTCTTTGAATGTTTTGACATCTTTCCGCGCTGGTTTTCKTCATTTTATATTTATACGCAAAGTGTCAAAAAGATTCAACTTTTTTAAAAGAACGATAGTATTATCCTCGCGAAGGACGCCAAAGAGAATGTTGTCATTAAATCGTACTAATAGCTAGGTCGTCCCTAACGATTCGTTTAAAAAACCATCTAAAATAGTGAACTTTACATTATCTTACCGCGGTGGGTTTCTTGCCTTTGCGTGCATCTTCCTCGGCCTCATCTTCGTCGACTTGTTTCTCGTCTTCCTCGGTGTCTTCATGCTCAACGAGGTTAGCCATTGCATTCTCATGTTCCTCCTCTTCATCTTCCATGGGCTCGTCTCCTTTCTTAGWGTGACCATTAGCCTTGCAGACGTGATACAAAACTCTCTTCTTGATGCAGGTACCGAATTTCTTAAGACAGGGTCCACAGAATTTCTTTCCTCTGGAGCATCGTCCATATCCTGCCTTGCACCTGCGCTGTGAAGTTATCAAAATAACATCTCGTAAATCACAAAAATGGCATTTTACAGTTTTACAACTTCTTCACTGATTTTTAGCAATTGCGAGTGATAGCAATTTAAGGTGGCAAATGGCAAAACTGCATGATTTATTTATGTTAAATAATCATTATCATTCCAAAATATGAGTAAATGTTTTCTTYACCTTTTGATAATATTGATGAAAATGAATCTATGAAATGTTTGTAAGAYTGTAATGGGCATGCTCATCACACAGCTTCTTATAAAAAATACACATGGATTTACTCATACCACAATTCTCCTCCATTTCYTCTTTTTCATAAGCGCATCTTCGCTTTCGTCTTCTTCCTCCTCATCGTGTTTTTTGCCTYTGTGTTTCTTTGCCATCTTCCTAACCCATCGAAGGAATCTCTTGCATTTAGACACACCTTTCAGAATGCAGCGGCAAGCGAAGTACTTCACTTTGCAAACTGGGACAAGTTTACACCTTGCTTTGGTCTTTTTCAGGCATCCAACAAATACTTTTCCACAGATTCGCTAAAAGATAACAAGTTTGTAATGAGATGTTGTTGAAACGTCAAGAAGAACTAAATCTTTTGTGGCAAAGTCAATTAGTTTTAGTACTAAATATAGTGAAATGTTACCCCTACCATATGTTTGAATTTCCTGACCATGGCTTGCTTCTTCTTGAAGTGGGCGGGATCGTCTTCATTTCCAAGGACTTCATCTTCCAAAGAACCATCGTAGACGTCAGTCAGAGACGGCTCGTCTTGTTCTTCTTGGGTCTCTTCGGCCCTGAAGACGGCYACTGATGCAAACACGAGAAATAGAACGAGAATCAGCTTCATGATTCAATGTGAACACTCTTGAGTGTGTGACTAGTTCTTCCAACTCGCCAGCTTTTATAGTGAAAATGGCCCAAATGTTTGTTTAGCTGTACTACGAGCCATAACAAGACCTAAACATTGCCAGAAATATTAACAAATATTCCCAAGCTTATTGCTTGCGTATGAGAAAAGATTCGTGTTTTGATGAAGCATTCAGAAAGGATATATGATCGATATTAAAAACCGCGAAATTAGTTTATGAACTGCTCATGCGCAAGTCAGTTTCAACATTGTCATTGTGATGAACCATTCAGAGATACCATAATAGGCAATAAAGATGGCGATATTAGTGCTTATRAGCTGCGCATGAGCAATGTAGTTYTGACATTGATGTTGTGATGGAGCATTGAGAGAAACCATAATAGACAGTGAAGGTGGCAAATAAGTGTTGATGAACTGCGCATGMGYGTGAGTTGTAATGTTTAATTACTGTGAATTTAATAATAATTCAACRCAAAAGGAAATAGTGGAATCTAAAAGCGGAGTAAGACGATAGTTTTTACTATTTTATCACATGCAACCAGCGTTAAGTCATTCTTATAACATAGGTCTACTAAGGAATTGTTTKAAATCCCTACAAYACTTCTAACCATGGTGTAAGGATGRCTTACGCRTGCTGAATGCGATGGTTGTAGGCCTGAGTTGTGCCGTCTAATTCGGCTTAAAACAAATATTGATGAACCSCACGACTAGAGCAATAAAGCACTTGTTTAATATTAAAGTCAGTGTTTGCTCTTACTGATCAAACAAAGTGATGTTTCATCGCTCACTTTGGGTTTGAGTTAARTGCATTTTGATCTGAAATCACTTACCCTGTTCTCAGAAGTTATTTTATAGACGTTTTTTATTCGTATTTTATTTGTCTTTTCTTTTGAGCTTTAATCTTTAAATTAAAACGCAAAAACCAAAATGCGAAATAAGAAACAACTATTAAAGAAGAGAAAATCTCTTGAACCAGGGTAAACATCACACGAGTCCCATATCGTTTCGGGAGTCCAGTATATTTCCACAAGTATGATTTCAGAGGGAACATCTCTTCATAAGATTAAACTGACTACAACCCTTTATTATATCTATTATCAAAATCATAGCAAAGTAAATATTAGAGATAACAGACTTGTGATGATTATCATAAGTGAATGTTTAGAGTGGCGAACAAAAGGTGCGATCTAGGGAACCTTGGAGGAGGTGGTTTAGGAAATGATATCACAGTGCTTTTTAGCCAGCCAGTTATGCAGTAATTTTGGCATGGACTCAGCAGTACAATTATTTTTCATTAGAAACTAACTTCGCAATTACAGGCCCGTAGGCTGCCTTAGAAATTGGGAGGGGGGTTCGTGTTCTCATAATGTGGACCTAAATTAAATGTTTAACTAAATTTTCAGTGCACAGCTATAGCGTGTAGGAACTGGCTGCATGCTAGTGTGAGCAGTTCATAACAAAATAAACTCAAAAAACAGTTCATAACAAAATAATTTTAAAATTGAACAATAAAAAAAGAGAAACACCGGACCGTTTAAGCTTGTGGGGGGCACTACGGGCCTGAATTAGGGAAAAGTTGAAAAACTGTGAAATCAAGTTTTATCACAAACACTAAATTCATGCCTCACACATAAATCTTTGGAATTTTTAGGGATCGACTAGGAAACAGGAAACTATATATCAAACCTCTATCGACAACTTTTTCTTTCTTTTTTTCTGCTGTCCTTTTTTTTAAATGTTTAAAGCTCATACACTTTCAAGAACGTTTGTAAAAAATATCTATAGTCACAATTAAAAGCAAAAATAGCAGACTTCGTTCACATTTTTTTGCAGGTAGCAAAATCGTTCATTTTAGAAATCACATTACTAGCATCTTGTTTTCCATTTTATGACGATAATTTCAAGTAGAATTCATAAACCTAAGAAGAAAGGCAATTTCAGAGCCGAAACTAGCAACAGTCAAGCCGGCCACTCACCTCTATGAAATTTATAAACATTTATTAGGGACTGCGCAACATTTATCAGGAGGGAAGGTTGAGATTCCAGAGGGGGGATCTAATTTTATGTCTTAAAGAGGGGGGCAACGTCTAAAGTAAACGGGCTCAGATTCTGTGCTTTTTTGGCCAAATACCTATTGAAGTCAGGAGCCCATTACTAGTAATTGGCTCCCGTTGAAGTGGAAATTTAATTGCGAAAGGAAGTCGTTATTTGAACTTTATTACAGTATCTGTGCAGAAATGCGCAGGCGAATCGACTATATGTTGTTCTAGTCCAGTCCCAGCCCCTTTCCGGTCCGCTCGGTTAACGGGCCTCAAAGGGTCTGGGACTGGACTAATGTTGTTCATGTTGTTGATGTACGTTTAAGTAACAAATGCGCTAAAGAACTAGGGAACTCTCTATTGTTCTGCGGCATAGCAAGTTCCCCACGTGCGAATGTCTTGGTTTTCACACTGATTATGTATTAGCCTATGGGTAACACATTTTTGAAATAAAATGTGGATAAACTCTATTTTGAAATAAAGTTTCTTTTGTATTAAAAGCTCTTATCCAATCATAAGCRCTCAAAACAATAGCCAAAAGATGCTTCTAATTTGCAATGTTCCCCACATAGAATTGCCTTAATATTGAAGCTAAAGAAAGCTTTCATGAAAGCGAAAACAGACATTAAATAAGATATTAGAAAATTCGCTAACTTGTGAAACTATAGCAGATTTTCATGTTTTAACCAATGGGATGGATGGATTATACAATGCGCAATTAGCACCTTCTTGCATTCCTTTGCCGTTTGCTTCCCTAGTTCTTACTCGGGGCATTACTTAAATTTTCCTTATTAGTGAATTTTCAGGCCCGTTAGGCTGTCTTACAAATAGGGGGTTCGTTTTTTCATAATGCAGACCTAAATTAAATGTTAACCAGAATTAGTTCATTACACAGGCATAGTGTGTTAGAATTGGCTGCTAGTATGAGCAGTTCATAACAACAGTACTAATCTCAATATCACGTCATAATCTCAAAAACAGTTCATAACAAACGAATTTTAAAATAGCTTTTTAAGCTTGTGGGGGGTTTCGTCCGAACCTCCAAATTCAATATGAATTTTACAATTATGTCCCTCGACTTTAAGTTGGCCATTTGCTGTCATCATGATTAGAAACATACGAAATCAGCGAGATTATTTCATAAGAACTTCAGTTTAAATGAGAAGTCATCAATTTTCATAAATATCAGAGC